GAGTATCAGATTTCATTTATCAGCCTAAAATTCTTTGACATATCTAGCGGAATTACATTGAACGTCAGCTTGTACACTTCATCCATACCTTCGTACACAAGCATTTCAGGGATTGTCAGGTCCGGATTGATCCTCTCCTGGGTGATCATCACTCGACCATCCGACATTGCCTTCAACAGCAGCTGCCCGCGTCCATCCCTTTTCAAGTAAACCTGCAAATAAAGTGGTGCAAGAGTTCCGATAAATGAGGAGAAAATTGGGTCGCTTGCTTCGATCACTGGACCCTAGTGCAAACAATGCGGGATTCCAAGTTATCATTATACATATCAATCTCTCCTGCATCTTCTCAATAGCAAATCGGTTGCTGAAGACCATCTGAAACCTTGTAATTGTGTGTTGTAAGAGGAAAATTATTTGAGCAGCTCTTTTTCGTCTTAGTCCTAAAGTAACCTCGAAAATGGCCAATGGATTTCCTGAGAACTCTCAGACGCGCAATCGATAAGGTGTCTTCTCCTGCACGCAACAGCAACTAAATTGACAGTCTTCAGCTCTGGCTGCTTTGGTCCGTTTTTCTTGGGAGCTAAATGGCCCCTTTTTCCTGAAATTTTGGTATTTGCTGCTGCAGGAGGTGCAAGTAATAAAAAAAATGACTTTCAAAAATGAGTTTCAGATATTGCAGCTGAAGTGCCCTGGAATACCCGAAACAGCCGCCTGTAGTAACATACGCCACTCCACACCATGGGTATTCTTCTCCCCTTCAATCGCTGTTGCCCTCGGCATTTCAGGCTCGCGACTCCAATTTTCTACAGGAACGGAGAAAGTTTCGTTCACGCTCATTTTATTTCTCGTTTCAACATCCATTACTATAAAAAGGTACTAACATTCAAGCCGGGATGATAATTCATTTTGTGCTGGCACACGAGCAGGTCGTCCTTGCGCGCTAAATCGCCTTCCTTCTTGTATATCCCTCGGAATGCTATGTTTGGCCGTGGACGCAACAGACCGCGAACAACCCCAATGGCCACTGTCCGGGTGCGAAGCAACATCACTGCATCGTGGCCTTCCCTGACCAATGTTCCTACAACGCAAAAAATAATTCAGATTACCGGACATACGTGATGCGTACCACATCCGCCGAAGTAGTAAGTAAGCAGATCGGTGCGAACTTGTGTTTTTAGCGAAGTCAGCTAGAACACAGAAAGTTTTCTTTTCCCAACCTCCACTTGCTTGCTTTGGAAAATGTAAGAGTTCCGTTAAAACTGGTCATAATTACGCGCACACTGTTATGGGACAAGCTCACAAAATTTCAGCTTTCTAGCTTCTTAGTTCGTGAAGTTACAAAACTGTCACGTTAGCTTTCCACCTACTCAGACTTGGTACCTACATTTAACATATGCTTACCAGCTAAGCCCACAAAAAAAAAATCCAGAACTCTAGCTATTTTGAATGCGAATTTACAAAGCTTTCATCGGCTTTCATTTAATTTCTTGCTTAGCATCATAAAACCATAATCAGAGAAAAATGAGATTCATTCAGAAGCTGCTGGAAAACAGAATGATCTGGCCGGCACTGGAACTAGACTGCAATTGTAATTTTAATTTTAGATGGTATGTGTTTATGTAAGAAGTAAGGGAATAAAAGGGGAATGTGAATAAATTAAAATCTGAATAAAAATCTGAATAGGAATGTTTCGGTCCATCAAGTCGCATACATTCCTGTTCAGTGCTGCAACTGGACCTCGTCAGTGTGACGGTTGCAGAAAAAATAACATGCAATGCAATAATTGGGCACGAACGATGATGGTGCAACAGCGAAAAGAACTGTTAAAGCCGAGATATGCTTCGGAATCTCTCTGAAATAAAGGGAATCTGGTGCACTGGTCCTCCCACTCTGTTTAATTCCCCCAAACATTGACAGCTTCGCACGCAAATATGCCCCAAAGTTCCGAATTCTGTGCTATGCTGGGATTCGAAAAAACAGGGAACAGCTGTGGTACTCGTACAACCTCAAACCATTGCTTTCGCACTCCAAAATCACACCGTTGAGCAAAAAAACCCCCCAAGTTAAGAGCCCTAACTAGCAAGGCCTCCCAAATCCGTCAAACGCTGTGATCCAATGTATTTTTGCATGGCCGAGCCAGGTTTCAACAAGGACAAACAAAAGTCATAGCAGGCTATTCAGGTACGCGGTGGCGCTCACAAATTTCTGTGGGAATGAGAACTGGTGGGTGTCGGCTTGTATGTTAGTAAAATTAAGAAG